AATCAAATAATCGAGTTTCGCCAGAATTCATCGTAAATACACTATATAAATTGATGTTTAATCAAACATATTATATAAATCGAAAGAAATATGATTATTCGGAATTCGATGCGGAAACTGTTCTATAAGTCGATCTTTCAGATTCACTCAATTCACTAAAACTGTATGTTTCATAATAATAAAAATATTTTTGCAATGATTACAAAAGTATTTCATTGATATCTAGTGGACTTCATGTTTCAATGGACATACAGCTAATCTGCAAATAAAGGTATGTTTTAATCCGATCCGATTTCTAATCATCGTGAAATCGTTGCGAACGGCAGATGGGTTCAAAAATTGTATTCCTCTAGTTATACGCAACCGACTTTATTGTATGTACAGAGGGATAGAAAGAATCGGATCAACGAAAATAATCCTTTCGCTGGCCCCGAAATCTTTTTAGGGTGGGAAACTTAAAATGCAAACTCGAGTAGGTGCACTCGGAAATGCAGATCACGAAATACGTTTCTCAGGCTTAAGTGTTCCGAGGATCATCTGCATAATCTGCGATTGACACAAGCACGAGAATACGCTGCAACGAAATACATTTTTAAATACGATCGATCCGATTTACGAACGGTGAATTTTCTCAATATAAGAAGGGGAAAACGGTAATATTCTTTCCCGTTTAAACCTTTCCCATTCTCTGTGAATTCTATCTATAAAAAGAAGTTAAACGAATCGCTTAGTAGTATGCATTTATGTTTATGTTATATTAAAGTGAGCAACCTTCGAGGCAAATTTTTTTATACACTGGCTAAAATCTCAGTTACGAATTTACGTTTTGACGTAATTAGGGTAGAAGTAATAAGAGCTGCAGGCCATTTGTCGTGTTTATACAAAACAATAAATCATTACACTAGAAGGCCTTTTAAATTATTCCCTAACATATTCATTTTGACGATTTACCTACTATTATGATAACATTGTAATAGTAGGTATTTCTAGGTTGCGTAAATATTCAAAGATTTGTGGTTATAGTTTCAAGCAATTTCACGACGCACTAATCCGAAATTTTAAAACCTGCAGTAGAAAAGATGTGGTTACTATTTAGTGTTACCACACAATCTACACAGTCATAATCAGAAGTATATTGTAATGTATTTGTACAATTAAGTTTATGACAGGAATAAATAATTTCACTTATTGTTAGCACGAAATCATTTTTCGTGATTATTCAACATTTTATTTACATAATTTTCAACATTATTCACTGGTTACCAAAAAAGCGAGTATACAAAATATTGTAACTTACAATTAGTGTTTTACGATTGTTGGAAAACTCAAAAGACAACAATGTTCACTTTTCGTTAGATATATCTAAATCGTTCCATAATAATTATTCACGTTTTCAACGACAAATAATATTATATAGGGGAAGGGAGGCATGACAGGGAAGCGACGTAAGATGGGGTATCGTGCCTAAACGCTAACTGAAAGATGCTAGACATGTGACGAGTACACCAATAGAAAGCTATTGTGTTATAACAGTTAGGTTGTCGGCAACAATGAGTGGGGGAGCACGCGTCTTTTGTTTATAGCTGTGGAAGTAGAAGCAGTAAAACTGTCCACGTGCTACATCGATCTTATTTTGTGTGAAAAAAAAAAATATATAATACATGTATATTTAAGAACGGTAAGTCCATTGTTTTTATAATATTATAATCTTCATTTCAACTATTTTAATGTGAAATATTCAAAATTAGAATATCTTTTTATTTGTTGTACAAATATATTATTTTCTGGAAAACGATCGTTTGAGTCAAGATGGGGTCTTTGATACGGGGAGTAATGGGGCACCTCATTGTTGAGACTTACACATAATTAGTTATAAATAACAACTGGACATACATTTAAAACCGCGAAAGTTTTACCATAAACGTGTTCTTAACGTGAGGTGGGCGCGAAGATGACTTCCTGCGCCTTGTCTAGTCTTCTGGACGCCAGGTCAAAAATAATAAGAAATTTAACGAATAATAATAATATGTAAATCCGAAGAAATTCATATTTGTATCCGTTGTAAGAATACACAAGCAAACCGTCTTGCTCTATTTTTGGTACCCCGTTTTACCCCGTGGTAGGGGCAGGACGGTTCTTTGTTCTTTTTTTAAAACTTTGTAACTTAAAAGTCTGACTTTATATTGTTCCAAGCATGTGCCAAATACTAGAGTGGTAACTTATAATTGTATTGTTATTCATAAAGACTTAATTAAGAGGTACAATTATCACTTTATTTCCATTTTTGTGTAGCTTTCCCATCACGCCTCCTCTTTCCCTACGTAATCGCATCAAGGAGTCATTGAAAGAATGGATAAATATAAAATATTCAGATTAAACCAATGCAACTACATATGTGGTAATGGCGGACTTTTAGTAATGATAAAACTCTCGCGTTCCAGTTTCCCGTCTTATCTTATACCATTGCAGCTTTGGAATTTCTAACTCGTAAGGTCAGCTTTATCGGGACATAGTCGCAAAATTACTCATTTATTTGCATATTGTTGGTCTAGTAGGTATGTGGACTTGTAATTCGTTGGTACGACAAGGCTTTAACTCAGATTTTTCGTTTAAATAAGACGAATTTTATGAAAACATTCAAATGATATAATTAAACGCACGCATCCGACAAAATATAGACGTTCACATTATTCTAAAAGTTTTTTTTTTATAATTTCAGAACAGGGGACAAATGAATATTTAAAATCCACTTTCATTATTTACGTATGACATGAAGTAAAAACTACATATTTATCTAATTATACTTGTTCTCGTATCATGTTCATCTTTGAATCGTTCTCATAGTTACCATACAATATTGTGTAAATTCGATATAGTTTAGGGACAATCTGAACGACAAAGGTCTTCCAACAATAATTGCTCGTGAAACATTGCTCGCCGATAAACTCTGTTAAAACGCGTGCGCGCGCCCGCGCGTGCGCGCTCGCATATACGCAACTGGCACCTGCTCCCCTCGGCATATGGCTCATGGTTAGGTCCCCCTTTTCAGTTCCGGGGGAGAAGAAACGAGGGGGCTGCGGCGCGTGCTCAAAATCCCCACCTCTTCCTCTTCGTACAACACGCGTCTCCCTTTCCGTTTCGCTATCTTCCTCTTTCTCTCTCTCCCTTTCTCACTTATGCTCTTTCTCTCTCGCCTCTTCTCTGTCACACGGTTTCTGTCCCTCGTAGGTCCTAATTCCCCCTGTCTCCCCCTGAACCAGCCCTCGTCGCACTCTATACTGCGGCAAAATGCTGAAACCTAACCCATCTATCGGATGTCCGCGCTCATTCTGAACGCGGACGCCATGCGGTTCCTTGAAAAAGTGACCGACGACACCGAGTGATCGAGCGGGTGAAGGTGTCGAAGGTAGCTCGATAACGCGAAGGAATTCCAACTGTATCCGATCGATCGTGAAGTCAACGAACATACGCAGTTTCGGAGTGAATCGGATGTGGAGAATCGTGATAACATCGAATAAGTGAACTTTTCATCCTGACGGAGCGATTAATCGATAGAACTTGGAGGACAGTGAATGGAAAATCTATAAAATCCTTTGGAAATTATTAATTCGGAACTGTTCGATCCTTTGTTGGGTGAGGGAGCATTGACTACGGCGCGTGCTTACCCCCACCATCCCTGTCCTCACCTTTCATCCCTTTTTCTCCCGCGTCAGCATCCAATCATGTCATACTGCGGACGACCAAGTGGACCTTTTCTTTGAAGTTCAGCATCATGCGGAACGGGGAACGGTGGCCACAGTTTGATAAATATTACTCCGATCGGTAGCAAATGCTGGAGAGTGGTATTTTATATATATATATTTTTCAATGTGAACGAACATATATGACGCTGTGACATTTATGTCGGAGTAACGGAAACCGTTGGAAAATTTTTTGTACGAATTAATAATACCGATCTCAAGGAGCTTGGTTAACCACGTTTTAATAGATTCGTGCCTTATACTCGACAACAAGTGACCTTAGACGTACGAAGGAAATTGGTTGCAAGTGCCTTAATAATAGTGCTAAGACGTGAACGACGTTTGTTTGTGTCGTTGTAGATCATTAAGGTCGTTTGAATCTTCTATTTAGAATCGTTCAAGTGCTTTCCTCTGGTGCTATATAATTCCTTCGACTATATTGTGATATCGATCTGATCGAACCAACAAACGGCGGGAATTCCGTTAGAATTTTTTTTAAATGCCGACGGAACTTGGAACGGGTCTAACATTGATTATTACAATCGTGAAACTGGCAGTAATTCGAAGAAATTCTGAAGAATAATTTCCAACGAGTCGACGACCGACTGGAGAAGAATAGACGGTGACCTCATGCTTTACTTAAGTCTTAACCGGCAGCGAGACAATTGGATCGTGGTTCGGGTCATCAGCTTCGTCGTTTGGTAGAGACGCTGTGATCCATTGGAAACTAAAACCTTATAATGTATGCGAAAATTCTAACAGTTAGAACTTGAACACTATACTCTGTATTATCGGAGACAACAAAAGCCACGAAGACAAATCAAACTACACGTTAGCGAACTTTTCGATTATTGAACGCACAGTTTCTCGAATTTTTATGAAGTTCGAACATTTTTATACTCTTACAAAGAATCAGCCTTTAGCTGAATATATTTTTCGACCGACGTTATTGTTATAAAATAGTAAATTTCGAAATGTCTTATGGACAATCGATTTGGACGATGTCTAGATCATCTGACCCAGATCTAAACATCAAATCGAACTAGTCGTCCAACCGTCTGCGTCAACGACGAGTCTTGATGATCAAGGAGAGAGCGTTTTATTTATAATTCCGTCAATTAGACTCGTCCTCGAAAGGCATTAGAGTTGATAAACTGCCTATCAACGTGGACTATTCTCACGCTATAAACTTCTTCCACACTATTTGCGCCTGGAATCCGAACTGCTAACTGAAAATTTATTTAACGTTGCATTGTTATCGCACAAGAAATCGATGAGAACGAACTCGTGAATGTCTTCCTGGCTCGTCATTGTCGAAACAAAGCGATCACGATGACGACCATGGGTGTCACGGTGTTCTGTAATCGAGTGCAACTGAACGGTAGCGATCAAGAACAAGTAATGTTATTGAGGACGTTGCAAGACAACGAGAGCAACATAATCGGTAATCAGCCGCACTTGATAGTCCCCAAGAACAACAATAACAGTAATATGAACGCCAATTCAGTATTACCGCCGTACGATCCCTCCAGATTAAAAAAACACGGGAAGAACGGTCAACCGCCGCCAGTCGCGGTTGCCCGACGAAACGCTCGCGAGAGGAATCGCGTGAAACAGGTGAACAACGGATTCGCGACATTGAGACAACACATTCCTAGCCACATTGCCGCAGGTTACGGGGACAGGGGGAAGAAGCTATCGAAGGTGGAAACCTTGAGAATGGCCGTGGAGTACATCAGAGGTCTACAGAGGCTATTGGCTGAGGCCGATGGTGTTGAATACGATAACAACGTCGGTGTCGGTCAGTGCATGCCTTCACCAACCAGTAGTGTCGTTTCTTCGAGTCACAACGGGTCTGGTGAGAGACTGATCCTCGAAGATGATGTTCTTGCTGGCGAAGAGGACGATGGGGACAATATGGAGGAGGATGAGGATAATAGGAAACAGAAACAGTCCAGGTAAATTCACTCCGAAATCTGTTATTTTATAAAAATGATAGACCTACATGTCGCAATGCCGTAGAGTTTAACGATGAAATGTAACAATTTTTGTTTGAATTTTCAGATTGTCGCCAAATCGAACCGCAGTTCCTTCGCCACGTGATTATTACGCTTCCTCTGTAGGGGACGAAGAAAATCTGGAACCGAGAACTCTGTCGAGCACGCAGAACTTTTCTCGACTTTCACCCAACTCCGTAGCATCGCCACCCTCGGAATACTATGGGCAGAACGAGGAGAACCTAGAGCCGCAAATTCTGTCGCCGTACAGCGGCGGCGATAGCGAAGAGGGTGCAGTCACCGTTTACGCGGCCAGTCCAGAAACCTTTTCCGGTGCGCTCTACTACAAACAGGAGATCACCGAGTCTGGTGAATTCATGGACGTCGTCAGCTGGTGGGAACAGGAACAGACCAAGATGGTCCACCAGCAACACACGCAACGCCTGACGCACGTCTAATGAAAAAGGTCAGATCTTCATTCTTTACTGTTAGGCTGTGAATGTTTAGAGAAATTCAACCGTTTTTAGAACGTTTTTGAAACACCGACATTAAATGAATCTATCGATTCTATTGAGGATTTTATGTAATGTATATATTTTTACACGATAGGTTATTTGTGGAATAAATAGGAATCGTGTTGTTTAAATATTTTGTCGGGTTGTTGAAATATTTATTCCACTATTGAAAATTTTAAATACCCTTATCTTAACTAATCCACGTCAACTTTTAAAGTTCATAAACCCTAGAAATTTGTATCTTTCTATAACATATTCTTATATGAGAAAGAAATCAAAAGTATCCTGAAATTTTGTATTATGCACCTGATTAATAGGTTGGAAATAAAATAAAAACCTTAGTGATTGATTAAAATTTTCTTTTCGTACATGTTATACATTGTTATGTTCAACCCTTTGTATTCGATTTACATTTTATATAATAACGAGTGTGTATGTAGCACATCTTTTTCGAAGTAATAAAGAATAATAGTAAGATAGTACAGTTTCACCTTATTAAAATAAGTAAAATTATTAAATCTCAAAATGATATTCTGTCAGCAATTAAATATATCGATTTTTTAGTTAGAACAATTAACGCAGCTCTTAAATGAAATGCAGCTTGTTTGTGAAATAAATGAAACATTATGGATATATCTCATTTTAGTAAAGAAAAGAAAATGTCTTATAAACATGTGTCCGAATTCCTATTAATTTATTGTATGTACAAATCATATTTATTGTTATTCTTTAGTATTTTTTTTATTAATTACTTTTGTCGCACATGGTATAAATATTATCATAATATGAATAATATGTATTCAGTTTCACTTTATTAGGAGGATATTAAATTGTAGATTGTCAATAGACCACTGGTTATATGCATTTGTCGGAAATGAAGTATTTAAAATATACATAATGAAACGAAACATTTAACCATAACTAGTAATGTGTTTGTTCTAATTTTCATTTAAGCAACTCTACAATTTATGACGTAAATTATCCTCTGGATCTTGTTTGGGTGAAATATTCAAATATTCATAAATATACATAATTATAAAATTTAATTGAAACATTATATACAATAGTGGAGAACTAAAAAGTCGATTCGTATAGAAAAAAAAATAGTCTTCCAGATGATAATATGGAATTGAGATACCTGACCACTTGTTATACGTTGAAACAAATTTCACAATTGTTGTGACAAATAAAGTTACTATCTCAAAATCCTGTACCTTTACACATGTTTATTTTTCATAACAATGTCGAAGCGTTAACAACTAGTTAGCTATGATTGTTTAGTTCACCAAACCCTAGATTTTACGCCACGTTTCACCTAAAAGGTACCCGTCCAGTAAACCGGATGAACCACAATAAAAAGAAGCCGCGTATAATTGTCCCCTCTTCGTTAAAACTCGCCATGCCCTTGATAGAAGAGCCTCATCGTAATTTAAGTGGACTGAAACGGACAGAGCAGGGCTGTCGATCGAAGTGTCATGGCGCACGTGACAACTACACTCCGGAGGAAGCGTCGCCAAGTGGAAACTCGTGTTCACCGCTGCGCTTCCTTTCGAACACGTGCTTCACCGGCGACGCACCCGAAAATAAACTTTACGCGTTGTAACCACTTTGCAAAGTACGTGGCGACGTGACACTTGGCCGTGTCTTATTGCTTCGTACGTTAAACAAAAATGTGTTAACCGGAGAGGACGAAGCATACACTTGAAATTAAAAAATTAAAATAGAATTTAATTTTGGAATTAGAATGGAAATTAAAACGGCAGTTTTCAGTAAAATGATGATGTTCTTTATTATTAAATATTACAAATAATTTGTTTTTAAAGAGATATATTTAATTATAGAAACTTTGGAAATGGCTTTGATAATTCGTCTTCAAGGTAGTGGACAGGACGATGGTTGAAACTTTTGGCTTCACGGGTCATGTATTTACACAACATTTTGGTCTCAAATAGTATCCACACTTTTGATTGTTCACCTGTCTATTCGTCCAACTCACTTACATCGAACTAATTTCTCTCATCCAAATTGAAAACTAAAACAAAGAAACGACAATTTAAAATCATTTTGATATGAACAATATATCACTTTGGGGGGAAGGTCAATAATTGTTGATAAAAAGGGGGAATATCATACGAAGAATTGCTGTTTTAACTTCAATTCATAAACTTTTGGGACAAATCGCGTATAACGCGTTCTTTGTACTCGTCGATATAACCGATTCTCGAAGCTCTCAATACAGTTATCTAAGTATCATATAATCCATATTATTATCAACATTAATGTAAATAACAACTTGTTTCTAGATATCTGTAATTGTTTCCACCTGAATATTTATGATCGCAAAATTAATTGATTCGTAGGTCGCGAGTAGAATTTGAAAAATATTTGAGGTTGTAATTATAAATCCAAAAGTTTAATATAAAACATTGTTATATATAATACATAATACATACTGTTTAATGTAGAATATACTGTCTTCATTTAATAATTTAGCTAGCTTTTACTATCACGATTAAAATTAATATTACAATGATAATTAATCATTTCTATTACGATTATGTGTTCCTAATTCTGATAGTCTTCACATAACATTTAGTACATTTTCGCAACCAATGGTAGATAATATTCATCGTTATTCAATTTAATAATAGCTACTATTTTATACTAAATGTAATTCTGGTAGTATTACGGAAAAGAAATTTAATAACGAAAAATGCTGTCTCTACAAATTTAATTTAAGTAATAGATTGGAAAATAGAAGAAAATGAATAATAAGCATCCCTGTTTAGACAAAAGGAGGATAGAGTCCAACCAATCATAAATTTCCATGTCGATACAGTTTGCAACCTCTGCAAATAAAAAAAGACCGTTGTTTTTATCCTTTTATTGGCGGCAAGTTTATTCATTCTATCTGTAATGTTTAATTCGACTTTATCAAAATTCTTTATTATTTCATGAATAATAAAGAAGGCTCTTCATTGTTTACTTAGCTCGAAAATTTTTGTCCAAATACCCTTACCCACATCCAAAGTAATCAGACTATCTGAAGTGAATGAATAAAGTAACATTCTAAGTGCGTTCGCAACATTTTGAAGTTGCTGCAGACTCGGTTTTATCTTGTGATAAGATTATACGTAAGTGTACTTGTAGCTGCTGCTCAAGATGTGAGTTGCTGTTGCAGGGGAACACGTGTCAGGGAAATTTCAAGTTCACGCTAGCTCGCTCCACATCTCGGCGCATTTCGAGGTGCTGTTACATCAAAGGCGAGCGGGCAGCCATAAACGGAAGTGGTTCACCGTTTTGCCATATGTTAGATCCCCTATTTGAAATATCTCTCTTCCAGACCTTTCTCAATCTTTCGGGGCTCCAATTGCCCGTCATTGATCAGTTTCCTCCCTCATAGGTCACGCATATGTCGCTCGTCTTGGGCAAACATTATTTTTTTGCTTACATATTTATATTTTTTTCGTAAACATTTCGAAAACTGTTTTCGTAAAGAAACGTGAAGTTTCGTTATATTCTCAATAAATTTTTATAATTTTGCTACCAGATCTGCTTTATTCATTACCAGGTTAGAAATATGCATTCGGTTTTATATTTTGATATCTGATTGATTAATGACAACATGCAATATACGTAACTCTTCTGTTCACATATTAAATTATATGAAATAGACTACAAATTAATTCAGTGAATTATCTGGAAATTTGTGTGCAAGTTAGTTATCTACATATTTAGAAGTAGAAGTGTTACAGTAAATTCAGCTTACAGGTATTGCCTTTGAAATTATTTTTTAAATTGTTTAGTTATTTATATTTATTTAGTATTCCATCGATGACATTACATTTTTTCTACCGTTAGCTTCTATACACTGCACAATGTATAACGTAACTGGCATTCTACCATGAAAATTATTATTTTGTAAGACTCGTCGACAAATTTCAGGGTAAATTTATTTGCCAAGTGCTTCAGAAACCATATTTGCGAGTTTCGGAACGGAAGTAGCAGGATCTTCTTTTATTTCACGAAGGATAGCTTTCCCTTCACTCTCCATCAACTTTCTTGAACGACCTGGTTGTGCGATTTTCTCAATAGTTCCTTCAGTTTTTGATTCTTTTTATGATATAATGCACCGTGGACTTACTTTTGTTTAATTTCACGATTTCGTAAATAAATTTCAAGAGTGTAATTTTTGTTTCTCGATCTCAATTCTAAGTTTAGTATGGAATGAAAGTTTATCCCGTATGTATAAGTAGATAATATTGAATGGAAATCGAATACATCGGGGTCATTTGAAAAATACTGAAACATCGAAGAGGAAAGTAAAGCGATGAAAGAAGGGCGATGGTGATGGTCACGCGGGCAACGGGGCGATATCAACGTGACCGGGAGCCAAGTAACGTATTTATTAAATTAATTTGCCGGGGCGACGCATCTCGTAAATTTCGTAGATGACCTCACTTTATAATTGTCGAGAATTGCTCGGTCCGCTCGTTCGGCTTCGCGTGAGACTTGTTGCTCCCTAGGATGTACATTTTTATTGGTACTTTCTTCGGGAACTACGCCTCTGGTATTCCGAAATTTCTCGTGAAACGGTCTTCGCTTCCAGTGGCCGTGAAGAAAAAAAAAAACGGTGGTCTGGTTATTGCCAGAAGCGGAACATTATTTTAATTTGTATGATTGACGGAGGGAATTCGTTTTAAGGCTGGGGCAATTGAACGGGATAAAGAGGGAAAAAAGAAGGGACCTCTGTACACGCTGGAGGATTGCAAACATGCTCTGCTTGTTTCTCTTGAACTGGAATTTAATTAAAAGAATCGAGGATGCACGGTCATTAAGCGAAGAAAAATAAAAAAGTTTTTTTTGTGCATTTATCTTTTGAAATTTAATGACCACCACTATTATAGACCCAGAGAATAGTTTGCATTGGTTTAAAATTTATAATTTGCGG